CGTAACTGTAACCGGTCTGCCTTTTCCCCAGAAGTCAAAAGACCAGACCGGACCGCAAAAAGACCGCAGACCGCGGTTTTTTGCGGTCTATAGACCGGTTTCGGTCTGCATCAGTTTTAACCGGTTTATGACCGGTCTTTAGGCCAATATTTTAAAATTATGAATCGGTAGATTTATTAACATCTCTAATAGCTTCAAAACGAGCCCAATAACGTTAAATTCCGTTAGGAATTGGTGCTTCTATAAAATAAGTCTGGTACATCTATTATTCCCAAAAGTAATTTACATTTTAATTCATATCTCTCTCGTTTTTTTACCAAATCGTACGTTCTTGGGTGCGTTTTAAAGGGTATTTAAGGGGCTACAAAAGACCGGTCCAAACCGGTCAAGACCGGTTCACGTTAACCGGTTTTTTTGCGGTCTTTACATTTCAAAAATAAAAGACCGTAACCGCAGGTCCGGTCTTTTGCGGTCTTGGTCCGGTCTGGTTACGGTCTTTTTCCAGTCATAAGACCGGACTTCCAAACACTAGATAAAATGCACCTGACCAATTTTCGAGGGGACAAGAAGGCATGGCTGGTCTATCTTACCATTGGGAATATCGATAAGGAAAAGTGGCGCAAGCCTAGTGCACATGCGACTGTTCTGATTGGGTACCTACCCATCACCAAATTGGATAATTATACAGAGGCTGCCCGCTCTCAGGAGGATTATCGGTTGTTTCATTACTGCATGAAGAATATTTTAGCACTGCTTATTGATGCTGGGAATAACGGAGTATACGTTACCTGCACAGATGGTTTTGTCTGCCATGTCTACCCACTCCTGGCTGTGTATGTTGCCGATTTCCCTGAACAGTGCCTGGTGGCAGCTTGTAAAGAGAGCTACTGCCCGAGATGTTGGGTGTTACCTGGAGAAAGGGGGATGTTTGTGGAATCATTGTTACGCGACAAAGAAAGGACAAAGGTCATACTTTCTCACAAGAAGTCTGGTCGGCGGGTTCCTGAATTTAATGATGAAGGGATTCATCCAGTCTGGGAACCATTCTGGGTGGATCTCCCTCATACCGATATCTTCTCCTGCTTTACGCCAGACCTACTCCATCAGCTTCACAAAGGGATGTTCCATGACCACCTCGTGAAATGGTGCACTGAGATAGTGGGGGAAGCTGAACTGGATGACCGATATCAGAGCAAGCCAGGGTACCCAGGGCTTTGGCACTTCAAGAATAGGATATCGAATGTTTCGCAATGGACTGGCACCAAGCACAAGGAGATGCAGCATGTGTTCGTGGGCCTTCTTGTTGGCGCCATTCAGCCACATGTTTTACAAACTGCAAGGGCCGTGATTGATTTCATCTACTATGCTTGGTTACAGGTACACACCTCGGAAACCTTGAACGTGCTCCAAGATGTGTTGAAGACCTTTCATGACAACAAAGAAATTTTAATACGAGAAGGTGTTCGAGAGCATTTCAACATACCAAAACTTCATCAGATGATGCACTACCTTGCCTCCATCAAGTCACGTGGATCTGCCGGCAGATACAATATGGAGTGGTCAGAAAGGCTTCACATTGACTTTGCGAAGGAGGGTTATTGGGCAAGTAATAAGCGTGACTTCATACAACAGATGGCGACATGGTTGGGTAGGTGGGAAGCAACAGCACGTTTTGGACAGTATCTCGATTGGCTGTTGCAATGCGAAAGCCAGGAAGAGCTGGACAGTGAGGACCTCAATGACAATGATGTGGATGAAAGTGGTCATGAGAAAGTTGGCCATGGCAGTGCCAGCCACACTGATGTAGTCGATGACAATGACGACAAAGTCTCATCCCACTCTGGTTTACCTGCCACCCATCTCCTTGCGGTCAACCCTGGCTTTCGTCAGGTGAAGCTCAAGGACATCGTCACCCAATTCCACGCCAGACTTCCTTACTTCGGTCACTAGATTTATCCGACGCGCACATCCACCTCCTGAACAGCCAACCCTTCCAAACACAACTGACATGTTCGACATCTACAAACAGCTTTCAATTCATTTAAAGGACCTTGCTGCTGTTGGATGTGTTGGCACCTTGCAACAGATCCGTGCAATGCCACTTACTCTGGGGCGGAAACACGACTCACCTGAAAACTTCGACACCGTTCTTGTCAGGAGTGAAAGTGAGAAGGGAAACCAGGCCACCAAGGGCACATGCTTAGAAGGTACGTCAATCACCTATTACATGCTAAGACTTTATCTTATTCATACCTATCTACCCACAGGACTTCGGGTAGCACAGATGCGAGTAATTTTTACTCTCCCAGATCACTTGCGTCGTGACCACTCCCTTCCACAATACCTTGCCTATATTGAATGGTTCAACCTGCTGCGATCCCCCAATCCTGACTCAGGCCTCCACTTTGTTACTCGCTCTTCCCACCACAATCAGCCCATTTCTGAGGTTGTGCCCCTTTGTGACGTCGTCTTAGGCTGCCATCTCATTCCAAAATTCGGCACCAAGTTCTCTCCTGCCAAGTGGAATCACCTCGAAATCCTCGACAATTGGAAAACCTTTTCTCTCAACAAATATATTGATCTAGCTATGTTTTACGAGCACCAAGTCTTTCACTAACCGAGGATGTCATTTGACTTCGACCATTCCATGTTGATGACATCATTGAGACTTTTGGTACTATACCCGACTTCAGATTGACCTCTCTGTGATGATGTATATTATTGTAGCCTATATATCTTTCCATGCTCTAAATCCAACTAAATGTACCTACCATACCCTACAGAGGTTAGCGGCGACCTACAATGACCTATGAGAGCTACATAGTCTACGTAAATAAGGCCAATCTATCACGTCAGACTGTTTTCCTGATGAAGAAGATGAGAGTTGGAAGGCCACCCATTTGCCACTGATGATAATACTGATACCCCACAATGTGGAGGCATCAACATACAACCCGAGGTCTGATAAAGGGTCAAGAGGGCGAAGAGACCAATATACCCCTGTCAAAGTGAGCTTCACTAACCACCACTTCAAGTGGTCTTGAACAATCCCTGCCAAGTGTGACGACCAGTGACATGCTGTGACAGAGCATCACAGGGCCAATTTCTTAAGACATGGACTTTGTACCTTCCACAGCACCAATTCAATATATTTTTTGCAATTGGTTTGAAGGAATGATGTGATTTAATCCACTGAGAGAGTTCTCCATGTAGCAATTGTATTTATTATTCCAAAAATGCGAAATCAGCCTGTTCTCCCTGCCAAATATGGCAGTCTGGAGAGATTGGTTAATAACCTTTCAACCACAGCTCGTATGAACATGATTTGCAGGAAGATTTTACTTAGAATTTAAATTACAATTGATCTACAGAAGCAGAATTTTTATTTGTAGCTCCTGTGCCGAGATAGCCTCAAAAATTGGCACTTTAACATGGTTAAGGGGCAATTATTAAAATTCTGGTTCTGTAGAATTAGAGCCACATAATAATTGATGATTTTGTCTCTGCATACCTAAGCTCAAATCCTATCTGTTATGAAGCCATTAGCTCGAGTAGCCAATCTTAGGTGAATAGGTATTGCATAGCCACCAAAGTGAAATACTTCTATGCATTTGAATAGAGAATATCTATGCAATTCTGGTGCACTTTCCCTCTTGTAAATCAGTGGAGAAATGACTGAGTTACATTGTTTACAAGTTTGGGCCATCTATAACTGGTGGCCAAAACCAGGCACCTTCCCAATTTGGCAGTCTGGTGATGC